TCAAAGTTTACTTCAAAATACTGTTGGGTCTTGTAAGGCCCTAAGTGCTAGATACCCAAGGACTGTTCAGGGCCTTTTCCAATAAGCTTTTAAGATCTCTGTAGGTGCCTTGTTCGTGACAGCCGATGTTCAAGAACTGGTTACCTATGTGAAAATATAGTTTATGCCTGCTTTTGAAAGCACGTTGGATGCTTACATCAATTTTATGTCATGTTACTTTAAAATGTACCCAGCCTTGTTTAGAAGTTTAGTACTGTTTTAATAGTTAATAAACTTAGAATATTGCATTTGTATCTTTACAAAATACTCTCAGATCCTCAAATGAAGAACTATTTAAATAAAAATTATACAAGGATCATTTAGACCTCTGAGTGCAAAAATCCAAATGAAAGCATGTCAAGCAAGTCTGAATACTAAATATGTTTTTTAGTAATTTGACAGAATAAAAAAAGCACTGTGAAGCAGTATATAAGTCTATGTGCTATTGCTAAGTACTATTGCTATTATTTATTTATAACTAATGACCAGTGATTATGCTGAAGCAGTAAAAATATGCAATAAAGCACAGTAAATCATGTGCAATGATCAACAGTCACTCAAGAATCATTCAAGTATCAGCAAAATCCAAGGCATCAGTGAAGCTCGGTGAGGCCCAAGACTTGTTCTTATCTTAGGAAAATACAACTGAAGACAGTTGGAATTACAACTTAAATATGGAAAAGACTGCTTGCTCACTGTGTGGTTGACAATCCTCAAGGATTACAATTTCCTTGCTACTGGCTCAACCTGTACCCTTTCCCCAATCAATAAAACAATTTAAAGCCAGAGTATTTTCTTTCAAGAAACCCAATAAAAGTGCACCTTACTCTCTTCTGAGCTGTGGAAAATACAAACTATTGATGGTCTGATTTCAGAACTTAAAACCAGCATCTCTATTTCCTTTATCTCTTAGATGAATAGCACTCCGCTCTCCCTCCCCCCCACCAGCGAGTAACATCTTGTCGAGTCAATTTAATATTACATTTAGGGCCCTCCTTGCTCCATACACCATTGATTTTTATTTTAAACAATACAAGACAGTCATTCTACCGCTTCCAATCAATGCAAAGATGTTTATGCTGGGCACATAAAAGCTTTCTCTGTTATAGAGAGACAATTGCTCTCAGCAAGGAACTTGCCGATAATTGCCAACGTTGTGGGATTATGTATTTCTTATTCTGTAACTCTGCAATTTACAGGAAAGACCAGCCAATCTTGATCAAGCAGCCTGCTAGACTATAACCACCAAATATACCAAGGAAGACATCTGAAATCCCTATAGGATCCAAATTAAAGTGCTGCTTCCTGCTGACTGCTTCATATATCTTTGGATAAGGGCATAGCTACTCTAACCGCAACATCGAGTAAGCAGCAGTTACAGCTTCAAGGGGCTTAGGAAAATAAGAAACATGAGCATCCCCCTCTAGTGGAAGAATAATGTAAGTTGTTGAAACTTGAAAATTGCTGAATTTTTTTAATGTACAGGATATAATTGCTGCCACTTCTTAGATATGGGCTGGAAACTGTTACCTGTGGAGATAACATCATAGCTCACGGCCACTCACATAAGGTGGAGCTGATCAGCAGCTTAATGAAAATCTTAAGATCTGTATAATTCTCACCCTATTCTATTTTTTGAGGTAAGTATCATCTATCTAGTTTTTCTGGAACTAAGATGGATAGACCACGGTTAGTACTTTGACAGGAGATCATAGAACAACATGCCTGTAAGCCAGACGGGAAATAGAAGGATAGCCTAGAACAGTGTTTCTCAATCGTGGCAACTTTAAGATGCTTGGATGGACTTCAACTCCCAGAATTCCCCAGCTAGCATAGCACTGGAGGAATTGGGTCCAACCAGTGGCATCCACAACCAACTTCAGTGACACCAAAAGAATGCGAACCATATTTGCATCCCAGTGTCTGATGCAACCACATCAGTCGCCTCACTTGGATCATGATATTGTCAGGCATGTTTATTATGCACATGCTTGAAGATGCATGTATATGCATCTCAGTGTTTTACTGGTTCATGTACAGTATTTTGGAACGGTTTATTAATGTGTTGAATTTATATTTTACCAACAAAGAAATAAAGGGAGGCTAGTATAGATCTATTTCAAGCTATTTAGCTCTCATTAGCTAGCCATACCCTTTCTGGGATTCAAACCCAGGCTACCTGCATATCAGGTAGATGTATTAACCTCTAAGGCATGGGCTCTCCTCGCTTTGTCAGGTATACCAGGGGAGAGATTAAGTGTTTTTTTTTCCAGTGAAACCTGTCTATCAGGGCAACCTGGTCTACCCAAATATGGGACGGAGCATACTGCTTCTGCTTTGACCTTTCAGATCCAATCCAGAAGCCTTCGCAGGCAATCGCTTTTGTGACAAACTATTTTTGTGTTGAATTTATATTTTACCGACAAAGGAATAAAGGGAGACTAGTATAGATCTAGTTCAAGCTATTTAGCTCTCATCAGCTAGCCATACCCTTTCTGGGATTCAGATCCGGGCTACTTGCATATTAGTTAGATGTATTAACCTCTAAGCCATGGGCTCTCCTCGCTTTGTCAGGTATACCAGGGGAGAGATTAAGTGTTTTTTTTTTCCAGTGAAACCTGTCTATCAGGGCAACCTAGTCTACCCAAATATGGGACGGAGCATACTGCTTCTGCTTTGACCTTTCAGATCCAATCCAGAAGCCTTCGCAGGCAATCGCTTTTGTGACAAACTATTTTTGTGTTGAATTTATATTTTACCAACAAAGGAATAAAGGGAGACTAGTATAGATCTAGTTCAAGCTATTTAGCTCTCATCAGCTAGCCATACCCTTTCTGGGATTCGGATCCGGGCTACTTGCATATTAGGTAGATGTCTATCAATGAGTTGCAATGTTAAGAGTCAGTATTATTAAAACGGAAACAACCTTAAACAAAGCAAGCGAATGTAAAATGTTCTGGAACACTTGCATTCCTTTAAAGTCAGAGATTTTTACATATACCAGTAATACTCAAATGTGTATGCATGCAACGGCCACATTTCACAATGCAGATAACCAACTGCAAAATCATGATGCCTCACCTAACGGGCATAAGTTGGTCCATAGATAAATTCTGTCCTGGCACCTGTTTTCATAGGAATGAACCCAATGTGCCTTATGTTACTGCATCATTAGTTGATTGGCTGAGTGAATACACTTATACACTGCCCATGTCCAAAGGGTGCTTTTTCAAGAGGAAATTGGACTTTCTTTGTTTTTCCTTGAAGACATCTCACTTCTCGTCCAAGAAGCTTCTTCAGTTCTGAGAGAAGTTCAGAACTGAAGAAGTTTCTTAGATGAAAAGCCAAACATCTTCAAAGAAGATGTTTACCTTTTGAAAAAGCACCTTTGGCACATCCATGACCTGGATGACTGAGAATCTCCATAGACATATAATGCCCATGTCACTCTGAAAAGCAACTTTGGGCAGCTTATTGGTCGTTGTTAATCGCCCACCCTCCTAATTACCATATCAGAATCATTTGACTAGCCTCACCCACAATGGAAAAATGGATGGTAAAAGTGATGGCACATATGACAAAACTGACTGTCTTAATTAAAGAGAAGAACTTATTTACTTTTGTTGAAATGGAAAATGAAACTTTGATTTTAAGTTTTGACAACTAAATTGACTTTGTTGTTATAGAAATGGTCTGAAATAATAGGAATGTAAAGCAAAAAGTTGAGGCTGTAACTTTTCTCTGACAAAAAATCAGAAGTCTTTACCTTTTCTTTTCTTTTTCTGCATCTTTTGCCTTCTTCCCTTCCCTTTTCTTTTCCTTGTCCCTACAGCTAGACCTCGACTTACAATTGTTCATTTAGTGACTGCTTAAAGTTACAATGGCACTGAAAAAAATGACTTATGACCAGTTTTCACACTTATGACCGTTACAGCATCCCAATGGCCATGTGATGAAAATTCAGACACTTGGCAATTGACTCATATTTATGACGGTTGCAGTGTCCTGGGGTCGTGTAATCACCTTTTGCAATCTTCTGGCAAGCGAAGTCGATAGGGAAGCCAGATTCACTTAGCAACAGTTTGACCTAATTTAACAACTACAATGATTCACTTAGCAACTGTGGCAAGAAAGGTCATTAAATGGGGCTTAAATGCTAGATTGATATCTCTGTTTTGAAACAGCTTTGCAACTCAAAAGTTGACTAAGGAATGAGATTGTAGGTAGTCCTTGACTTAGGACATTCAGATGCCTGGCAATTGGCATATATTTATGACAATTGCATTATCTTGGACTCATGTGATCACCTTTTGCGATCTTTTGACAAGGAAAATCAAATTCACTTAACAACAATGTGTTACCAACCTAACAACTCAATTGTGGTCATAAGTCAAGGACTACCTGTATTAGGCCAGTGTTTACAAATTCACCCAGCACATAAAGGGAAAGTTACTGCCCTGTTGGATTAAAACAAAATGTATAATATTTGTTTTTGAAAGCACCAATAGTCAGGTTTCTTATCCTTTCCTGTAATTAAAAGAAATCAGAGTCATACTGCGAAAGGAACAAAATTATACAAAATTTAAAAATTATGAGATATGTGTGTATGTGTGTGTTATGTAATTTAATCATGTAGTCCATTTGTACTGAAATTTACAAAACAAAATATAATTTATCTTGTGCTGTCAATCATATACTCAGTCCTCTACAATAAAGCCTGCATAATATTATTTCATTATTCTTAAGAATCAAATTCTGGAGACAGTAATTTTTTATAGGTGAATTTTTCCCTGCTAATTACACTCAACCACCACAACATATTCAAAATTTCCTACTGTAAACTACTGGCCTAATACAAACTCCACTTAGGGGTTTCTTCTTTTATTTTAATTCTTCTTTATGCATATACCTTCCTTTAGTAGGAAGGCAGCTAGTTTAAAGTGAAAGGATCTTATACTGACCTCTAGTGGCCCAATATGAAATCATCTATTTGAGACTTCCAACCACTTCTGAAAAACCTTGCCAAGAAAACTTCAACTTGTCCAGGCAGTCTCCAAGAATTAGACCCAATTGAACAGAAAAAAAATATATTATTTTTTAAAAAATATCTAATATGTACATTTCCTTAAGGAAAATTATATTTCCCCCCAGTTCGCTAAAATGCCAGAACCTCTTTTCCCTTTCTCTGAGACTTCTTAGCCATTAGCCATTAGCTGAATTATTTTGATACAACAGAAGCTTGGCTGTTTTAAACAGGAAAGTTTCCCAATAGGAAAATAACTGGCTGTTACATCACAACTCTGGAAGCTGTAGTGGAACCAAATTCTATGGAATTTGGAAGCTATGGAACCAAATTCAAAAATGGATCGCTCTTTATCTCTCCTTAGCCTCCTTTTTCTATTGTCCTTTTTCTGTTTTTTCCATAGACAGACAAAATACTACCCTAAACTACCTATACTACCTATACTATACTACCCTATACTACCCTAAAATAAGGCCTACCCCGAAAAGAAGCCCTGATTTTAGCATGCTCCTAATATAAGCCCTACCCCAAAAATAAGCCCTAGTTAAGGTCATCATCATCATCATCATCAGTGGGGGTGTGGCCAGCACCGGAAGCAGCAAGGGCGCAGGGGCCAACAGTGTCTGGCAGCAGCCGCAGCCTGTGCAGCACAGATGAGTTGAGTAGCTGTCCAAGCAGCAGGTGGAGGCAGAGGTGGTGGGGGAGCACACAATTCTGACGCATCACCCGGGATGCAGGAAAGATGAGAGTCGGTGGGCCAAAACAGGTGGGTAGCCGTGGGAGTCTTGTCTTCACATGGCGGCATCAGCAGTAGATGGGAGGCAGAAGTGTGGGGAGGGAATGCAGATGATCCCAACGTGTCGCGTGGGCTGCGGGAAAGCCGAGAGATACAAAGATGAGCCTCCACGCCCACCTGCCCACTCCGCCTCACCGTGTTTCAGCTTGCCTGCTGTTGTGGCCACGGAAGAAGTGAGCCTCCCATACATGGGGGGGAATAAGACATCCCCAAAAATAAGGCCTAGTGCTTATTTTGGCGCCCCAAAAATATAAGACTGGGTCTTATTTTTGGGAAAACACAGAACATAGAAGAACTTGCATAAATATCAGTTCAGTCTACAGATCATAGATTGTTTTGGAGTTTTTTTCTCTGACCTCTTTTTCTCCTGCTGACCATAGCGGAGCTTCACATTGTGCCAAGGGTGGTAGCGTCAGCTAACCAGTTTCAAGATCCTACCAGTGGACGCAAAGGGTCACACAAATCTTACAAGTTGCCTTTCGCTATGTAAATAAAGCTGCAAATATAAATGCCTTCAACATCTGAGCTACCACAATAGTATAGCAAGCCAGGGTCTTGTTCTCCATGCAACTCCTTGCAAATTGTTCATTAATGACTTGTGTCTTTCTCTTCAATGGCATCTGCAGTGTGGAATAACCATAACAAAACAGACCCTAAGGTTAATGTGTTTAAAATGTCTTTTAAAAACCATTTATTAGTCTCCTTCCGCTAATATTTGTTTCTTGTTTTAAAAGAATTGTGCATATTTTTCTTTGGTTTTTTTTTTCCACTGCTTTTATACACCTTACTGTATTGCAATAATGGCGAATATCTGTAGCTCGGGTGAAGGATGAGGATGAAGGTTTGTTCTCCGAGCTTGTGGGTTGATTTCCGAACGTTTTGTTACCAGGCTACGTGTTGTGGCCCGCCAGTGGCCTGCGCGGATCGTGGCTGATCCTGATGACAAGGAGGCTGGTGTGGTGTTACGCCAGCAGCCGGCACAGCTGGTGCTCGCGTCGGACAGCGAGGAGGCTGAAGAGGATGTGGTGCCAGAGGCAGAGACTCAGCCAGGGCCTTCAGAACCTCCAGAGGCTCCTTCAAGTGGAGAGAGCGAAGTGGAGGAGCCTCTTCTCAATGCTCGAGCACGCAGGCCTGTCAAAAGGCAGGAGTGGCTACCCAGGAGGAGGTGATCTCCTCGAGAGTAAGGCTTGAGGATAATTGGCCACTGCCTTAGCCTATTTAAGTCACACGCGGTTAGTAAGTTTCTTGCTGGAAACAACTTGTAATTATCATCAGAGCATTTTTGGAAAAGTCTTATCGTATTTTGTTTTCTGGGCTGGTTGCCAACCTTTGCCAGACTTTGGTTTATTCTTGCTACTTAATAAATTTGATAAGGACCGTTGGTGTGTCAATATCCTCGGAAATCCGGAGCTGGGGCAGAACACTAGGTAACATCTTCAGAGGAGTTTAGGGGATGTCAGTGTCCTTCTGTTTATAAGATATGGGTATGTCAAGTGTTATGATGGGTCAGGTGCGAGTCATCAGTGAGTCTTATGATGGGTCTTGCGATAAGGAGATTACATCAGGTCAGGTTCGTTGGGAGGTGAATGCCGGTGTGGAAGGGGTTGCACGGATTGTTTGAGGATCGGTACTGTCTGTGTTTACGTTCGGAAACCAACCCACAAGCTCGGAGAACGAACCTTCACCCTCACCCTACTGTGTTTTTATTGATATTGCAAATAGTTTTAGGATTATTAAAATAAGAAGAGGCATATGAATACTCTTCTGGAGAAAATATATATGTAATCACTAAGGGATGACAAATGGCACAAAACAAAGATAATATACATGACATTCTGTGAAATATATTTTACAGAAATATTTATTGTTCTCTACAAAGGCAGTTTGATTCCAACGCTGTCCTTCTGTGCAATTAAAAGAACAGATTTCGAATTCGCATGCCAGTCTGTCCCTGTTAAAATAGAATTATTTTTATTTCAATACAGAATCGGTTAGTTTTAACACACTGCATCCTGAAATAACAATTTGAAAAAGAGAACCAAAACAGCAGATTCTCATCAAATACTGATTTCAGGAGGAGAGAATATAGGTAGCTCAAGTGTGGCACTGTGGAGTCCTTGATACTCTCAGAGTTTGGTTGTTTGCCTGCAATGTTTCATTAACTGACTAGGTAACATCCTCAGTGCTGTCTATAAGAAAACAACAAAGCTCAGAGAACACCAAGGACTCCAGATATGGATTCCTTTACTCCCAGGGGAGTACAGTCAGCTCAAGGCATTTTGCTACCCAGGGAAGAAGACAAGGTAGCAATCCAATCATTCCATGTTCGCAAACAGCCTGGACTGACAAGTGATGAGATACCATCCTTCAACATACCTAAGGCAGAAGACTATTTCCAGGGACCTGGGACAGATAATATGCCATATATTGCTCTGCTCTCCAAGAGGGGAAGATCTAAGGAACTCCAGAGAAACAGCCTGGGATTCTTGAAGTGCTTTATTTCCTGAACAGCTACTACTTGAAATGCTTCCTTCCTTGAACTGAATAGAAGAAACCCTTCCAATTTCACAGATCCTCCGCTCTTACCAGCAACAAATCTTTACATGTTATCCTAGAAGTGGGCTCAACAACCTTTTAAGGTAATAGGCACTATCACATGGTTTTACATAATGTCTTAGATGCCAAAACAACTTTTAAAAAACATGTTTTGAACATGAAATTACAAAAATTAAAATAGCAACAATAAAAAAAACCCACTCAAGAGAACTCATGTGAGAACAAACAACACATGTCTTTTTAAAATTTTTAAAATATAATTAATTTTGGAGGTACGTTTCCTTAACCTAGTTTATATGTTGCTCTATGCCAAACTCCGAGTAGCTTAAAATGTCATATACTAAATAGGATTAGAAACAATAAAAAAAAAACAAAATAATTCAGTCTATAATTGCACTCATAACCCAATGTGCCTACAACTCAGGAAAAACACAACCTTCTCACACATCCCCAAAGGCAGGTTTTCAAGTCTGTTTGGAAATACCCAAAAAGCATCATAAGAAAGTAAGAACTGTGATAAATCTGATAAAAGAGCATCTATTCCAGCATTCTGTTACTAAACAACCTCTGCTTTCCAGTTTCTCCACATCATCCAGGGTTTGAAACACGTCTACCGTGTCGCCCATCATCTTCTCCCCTCTGAGCTAAGAAACTCATGTTGTGATATTTCCTGCTAACAGCTATTCTAACTTCTTGATCATTCGGTAGACCGGGTAGTGTTTATTTGTTACTACTTTCCTTTAGGCACATTTATTATTTGTTGAATTGGTGAGCTTTCATTTCTCAAAGTAACTTGGAGCTTTCAGGTCCTAATTTAACACCTGAGCCACTTTGCCATACTTGCTCTCCTTTTTTATATCTTTCCCAACTCTACATTATCTTTCTTCAAGTTTTGAGTTCAAAACTGGCTGGTTGATTTATAAGATTCCAATGTGCAGTTTGCTTTTCAGAACAGCCATCAGACCAATCATTCAGTCACCATTTCCCAACCTGCTGCCTTGCAAAGGCAAGATTGCAGTTCCTTGCTAGATAGTCTTTTGGCCAGTGGTGATTTAGAAAGCTGAGAAAATATCTGGAGCAGAGGTGAAATGCTACAGGTTCGCTCCAGTTCGGGAGAACCGGTAGTGATAAAAACTACCAGTTCAGGTGAACCGGTAGTTTAAAAAAGCTACTGGTATTTCCGCCAATCAACTGTGCCGCAGGGTTTAGCTTTGCTAGAAAGCAGGAAATCCTGCTTTCTAGCAAAGCTAAATTGCACGGCACAGCTGATCCACCCCCCTCACTGTTCTACTTACCTTCCCAAGCCTCCTTTTGGTGCATACTGCACGTGCATACAGCATGCACCAAAAGGACGCTTGGGAAAGTAAGTAGAACAGCAGAGGGGGATCAGCTGTGCCGCACGGTTTAGCTTTGCTAGAAAGCAGGAAATCCTGTTTCTAGCGAAGCTAAATTGCTCAACACAGCTGATCCACCCCCTCACTGTTCTACTTACCTTCCCAAGCCTCCTTTTGGTGCATACTGCATGCAGCGCACACACGCGGCCAGTGAACCGGTAGCAAACCAGTTCAGATTTCACCACTGGTCTGGAGATCATGAACCCAAGACCATATATGTAGACCATTGTTTTCATGGCATTAACCATCCCAAGAGCCAAACCTGTTTGCTCTTTAGGGCCATAGAATCATCAATTCCAGCCTGTAAGTTTATTGATGTTCTGAGGTTGTTAGCCCTTTGATGTAGTCTAGATAAGAATCACAACTATAACTCTATATTTATTATAAGATTATATTAATAGAATCTTGCTAAACCCTACTCTCCTTTTACTCTCTGGGAAACAAGGGTCTCTTCTAATATGGTTCTCATGCTCCCCTCCCCTTCTGTGACCTGAGGCACCTTGTCCAGTCTGCAGCTCTTCCTCCCAAGGTCATTCCCACATACCATTAGAAGTTAAAATAATCTTGATTGCTACAATCCTGTGAGCATTACAAGTTCTGTCAGGCACAAAAAACCAGGAGTCAGGATAGAGTTCAGAAAGCACTGCAAGTTTATTCCAGGCAACCTATACCCGAAAATCTGACCTACTAACAGCCAAGGCAAATTGGCGACCAATAAGAGTCAACGGACTTCAAGAGGGGCTGGACTTAGGTCTCTTTTGGGGGCATAGGGACTCCAGAATGCTGATATGTTTGACCCCACCCTCGGGCTCAGTCTGGTCATCTTCTACAAGTTCTCTTCTAAAGCCCAGGAATTTATCTGGGAGACTGGAATAAGTAGATGCTTTCCACATTGAAAATACAGCTTTTCTTGCCAGGAGTTGTAGTCCTAGAACTGTGCAAGAAACTGACATGTCATCCCAGCACTGATTAAAAAAATGCCAAAGCTAGATATCCTTTTCAGTCTGTGCTTCAAGATGTTCAAAGGCTCTTAGAGCAGACTTCAAGCTTTAGGGAGGGTGGAGATGAAAGACATTGTGGCTATACTTTCCACCCACCATCAAGCTGGTTGCCATCTGGAAAC